CAACACACCCAAATCCTTACAAATTCATCTTACTCGCCTTCCAAGAAGCTGGGGAGGGGATACAGCAGCCATTCTCTCATTCTTTGACACACACATGGCTTGTATTCTCACAACCTGAGGTGGATGATGAGGGAGGTGGTAACGAGCAAAGGGCTGGCTGCTGTGTTTCTTGTAATGTCTCAGAATGGTCAGCAACACAGCTTCTGCGTCCCAAACCCGCCCACTTGGTTTAAAGGAGATTGTTGGAAGACTTCAACTCAGATTCTGCAGCTCAGTAATTACCTCCCTGTCAGTAAACAGATTTAATTTACAGCCAATTAAACCCTGAGGGGCTCAGTTTAAGGAATGTCACCCTCCATTGTATGATTCTGTTTTCAGCTGTTCTCCTGTCTGGGGTTACCTTTCGCTCAATAAGATGCACCTTTCCAGAAGACGCACCATTTTTTTAGGAGAAGAAAACAGGAAAATATAATCTGTTTTCTTCGCTCCATAAGACACACAGATTTTCCACCCCCCTGTTTTGTGGGGGGAAAAGTGTGTCTTATGGTGCAAATGCTCTGTGGATCTCTGTACTTCTACTGCAACACACAAAGGAATTTGACCAGAAATTTAAAACTTCAGAAGATTCCTGGTGAAAAGAATGTGAACAACTGCTCTTCCAGGTGTAGGGATTTACTTTTATTTTATTTATTTTTTTTATTAATTATTCAATTTCTACCCCACCCCTCTAGCTACTCGGGGCGGCTTGCAAGTAGTTATAAAACATCATGGAAAATAGTCATCATAAAACAATCACATAATTAAATCAACAAATTTAGAAGTTCAAAATGGGGAAAAAGGAAAACTAAAGAAAAAAAAGCAAGTGTTGGCTGGAGGGAAGGCTTGCCCAAAGAGCCAAGTCTTTAACTGACTCTTAAAAACACCCAGTGAGGGAGCCAGGGTGATTTTCGACAGCAAGGTGTTCCATAGTCGAGGGGCCACTGCCGAGAAGGCCCGGTTTCTTGTTCTTTCTTTCTGGGCCTCTCTCGGTGTTAGGCCCCTAAACCATCATCTGGATTCTCAGAGTAGTGTGATCGACTAGGATACTGGAGAACAGGATTCGAATTCCTGCTCAGCCATTGGGACTGACTGCGAAAATGTAACTAGTAAAACCACTCCTTAAATACTTCACTTACTTTGAAAGCCCTATTTAGGAAGGTTGCTATAAGTCAGGTCCATCTGTTGCACCCAAGTCAATAAATTGTTTTGTTGCGCCTTAAAGACTAGGACGTGGTCTGGATAACTCAGTGGTTTAGGTAGCTGGCTGTGGAGGCAAAGGTTGGGAGTTTGATTTCCCCGCGGGGCCTCCTGAGAGAAGAACCAGCCTGGGTAGCCTTGGGCCAGCTGCACAGCCCCAAGGTTGCCCCCTAGAGGAAGGGAAGGGGAAACCACTTCTTTGTATTATCTCCCTAAAAAACCCTGCGAAGGGTTGCCCCAAGTCAGAATCAACTTGACAGCATGCAGATGATATCAATATATACTAAGAAGTTTTATCTGGTATACTAAGAAGTTTTATCCATGGACTTCAGTAGCATAAGTACATAGTCACCAAAGTCACTGTGAAGGACACTGGTACATCTGGAGAGGCATCTGGATTGTCTAGGACAGTGGTCCCCAACCTTGGGCCTCCAGATGGTCTTGGACTACAGCTCCCAGAAGCCTTCACCACCATCTCTGCTGGCCAGGATTTCTGGGAGTTGAAGTCCGAGAACATCTGGAAGCCCAAGGTTGGGGACCACTGCTCTAGAAGATGGTTGGACATCAAATGAGCTGGTAGCGAGCAACTTGTCTCCTGAATCGGCAATAATGACAGTCTGCGTGCCAAAACAAGGAAGTCCAAAAATGCTGAAACAAAACCAGTTTATTTCCTATGCACCTTTCCCGCCTGGGATATTTTTGTGGTTCTCCTTGGTGTGAACAAGCAGTGCACTTAAGATTATTTTAGATACCGGACTTAGCGCCCCAGCTGGAACCGTCAAGATTTAATTGTTTGCAGAGAATTGCTTGGGATGGCGATGTGTAGGATTTCCCTCATTGCAAGTGGTCTCGCCCGCATCACTTCTTTCCAAATGGGGTAACCAGACCTGTTGGGTCAGAGGCCTCCCTGTTCATTCTGTCAGCCCTGGGCTGGTGCATCAATATCAAGGCCAGCCCTGACGTTAGACAGAGAGAGACAGTGGCCTCAGATAGCAGGATCCTGGGAAGCATCACTGTCGTGATAAATCTGGAGTGGCAGTCTGTTGCAGAGCTCTGATATTTTCTTTAAAGCTAAACTCCTCTAACTGTGTAGCAGAACAGCAGGGATTCAGAGCAGAATAGCTTCAAGTGAACTGGAGTAGTCCACCCCTTTCTCACTGAGCCAGCACTTACAGTCTCAATTATTCCATCTGAAATCTTAGTACACTGCTGCCTCGCTAGACAGTTACCCCGCATGACAGTCTTTTTGCTAGACATTGGCTTTTTGCGATCGCTATAGCGATTCGCAAACCAGCGATTCCTATGGGGGAATTTCGCTGGACAATGTTTGGTCCCTGCTTCGCAAACCGATTTTCGCTAGACAACGATTTTGACAGCTCCCTCCGCACTCGCAAACAGGTGTTTTCGGGACCTAAGCTTCGCAAGACAGCAATTTAAACAGGTGATCGGCGGTTCGCAAAGCGGCTTTCCTATGGCCGATCTTCGCTAGACAACGACGATTCTTCCCCATTGGAACGCATTAAACAGGTTTCAATGCATTCCAGTGGGGAAATGCTTTTCGCTAGACAATGATTTCGCTAAACAGCTATTTCAGTGGAACGGATGATCATCGTCTAGCAAGGCACCACTGTAAGAGAAAAAGGAATAAAAATATTTATTTACTTACAGTTGGGAACAGATCAACAGCAAACTGACAAACATGGTAGTTTCCAACGGGCTTAAACAGACAAAAGAGAGGGGGAAAGCACTGAGCAGAGACCTGGGGTTCGCTTTGTATTCAGCGACAGGGAAGGAGCAATTGGTTGCTGGTGGACAAATTGACAGTCACCCCAGCCCAGAAAGGTCCCTCCCAGCCAAAGCTGCTAAAGGCAGCATGTGGGTTTGCAATAACTCCAACCCAATCCTGATAGCAAGACCCCTCAAGGAAAGACCAAAGGCTGATCTGTTCATCAGGTGAGGAGTAACCTCACCCGATGAACAGATGGAGAAGGAGCAAGACCAAGGCACATATAAACACCTCTGCCGTGAGCCGGTGCTGCTGGTCTCAGCTGCAAAAAGGTGGAGAGAGGGACCCCTGCCTCCAAGACACCTTGCACTCAAAAATCAAACTTTCTCCTCCTCTCACACGACTCGCCATGAGACCCCGGGAGGGGGGGGAAGACCAGGTAAGTTTCTTGAGACTTCAAGGAACACCCTTATTACACCTGGCAACCATATACTACCTCTGTTGATCCTCATCCTGGGGCAGATCTACCCGGAAACTAAGGAAGCTTCCGTTTCAGGGCCCTGGGTGCGACTTTAATCCAGTGCTCAAACCCGTGTTTGTGTATGCACACGTGTCCTAGATCTGTGAGTGGGTCAGAAAGAACTCACGACAGGTATTTAAAAAAACTGTTCTTCCAGGGGCCGCCGCTAAGCTCGAAAGGGAAAGGGTGAGGAAGGGGAGGGAAAGATCCCAACGCCCCCACCCCCATATACACACCCTCGTCAGAAGCGCCATGCTTTGCGCCCAGGGCCGTGAAACGTGTTTACTGGCCTGAACCCAGCCATACACGTTCCTGCAGACCCGGGTCGTAACCGCAGCTGCTGCCGCCGCAGCTGGAAAGGCGCGCGGGGAGGTGCAGTACCCCCAGACGGCCCCTAGGGGGCAGCCCTTGCAGTCACTGCGGGGCAGGGACTCCCCGCCCGCTTTTTTCCCCCAAAAAAGGAGAGACTCCCGGCGGTCGGAGATGGAGCGCCGGGGCTGATGCCGAGGGCGGGCGGGCGTCCAGCTGGGGTCTGGGAACGCGGTCTCGTTCAATGGCTCTGGCGTCTGCCTCCTCCGTTAGCCCGCCCCGGCTCGTTGCCTGGGTGCTGCTGCTTTCCCATGCAGGCTGGACAGCAGGTAGGACGGCTGGCTTCTCTTTTTTTGGGGGGGGGGGCAGGGGGGACCGGGGGGGGGCTCGATCCCCTCCCAGGGACAGCAAGAAAATCATCCTACAGAGGCTTGCATGATAAGGTTGCAAGGAGAAAAAAAAAAACACCGCATCAGGGTGTCTCCCAAGAAATGGCCCTTAAAGTCATGGTGTTTCCCTGGGAAAAAATCGAAATCTCCCCCACTGCGTGGCTCATCTCATTAAATCGAGATATCTCATTTCTCGGAAGAGGCTAGAATTCTCTCGGAGGCGGAGCTGCAGCCCTTTGGCTTGTCGATCCGGGATTTTCCAAGGAATGGAGGGGCTTCGGCATCATCCGCTTCTTTGCTCCCTCCCAGCATCGCTGCGATCCTCATGGTCGCTGGGAGAGAAATGGGTTTCCAAGGAATGGTATATTGTTCTGAGATGGCCCTGTTGAGAAGGGAAGCCTTTAAAAAAGGGTCTTGCCCTGGAATGCGCAATTAAGAGCCGTTCACTTTACAAAAGAACTGCTCTTCATAGATTGATATGGATGGATCCATTCCTGGACTCTCTTGGGGGGGGTATCCATAAGGATAGTTATAACAAGGCCCTGGACTGCCAACTTTTCCATTACCACCAATTAAAGCACAGTCATAAAAATGGCTGTGATGTAGCACAGCTGATATCCATAGCTTTAAACTTCAGCAATATTTTTGCTAGCAGGAATCTAGATGCCATCTGCTACTGCATCCAACGCTCCTGTGCTCTTTAAGCTTAGCTGCAGTCCTCGCAATAAAGGCAGGGGAAATAAATTTCAACATGTTGCTATAAGTTATCCAGTTGGTTACTTTGGAGTAGCGTGATCCGGAGGAGAAGTGTTAAAACTGGTTTGTGGATACGGATCAGCACAGCAACCTGTATTTCTTGACTGTCCGGAAACCATACTTACGTTGTGTGTGTGTTATCACACAACATAAACTCGGAGATTAATTTCAAGACCTTTGTGTAAATCCCAGTAGCAAGAGTAACTCTAGGGCAAGCAAAGTAATGGGGAAAAAAGTGTTGGAGTTTTTACAACCTCGCCTGCTGTCTGTATAGCTGGGAGGGACCTTACTGGGCTGGCTTGACTGCCAATCTAATCAGCAGTAACCAATCATTCCCCCCCTGCCTCTGAATTCAAAGACGTGACTGCCAATCTAGTCAGCAGTAACCAATCATTCCCCCCCGCCTCTGAATTCAAAGACAGCCCCGCCCCTCTACCGAGTTCTTTTCCCTTCTCTCTACTCTGTTGGAAATCTTTTTTTTTTGCTATTGATCTCTTTGCAACTGTAACTAATGAAACATTTTTATCCGTTCTCCTATAAATGTCTCAGAGCGAGTTATTGAAACCTTAAGTGCCAGTTAATGAGAAAGGGGTGGACTATCTGGGGAACTTGAAGCTATTCTCCTCTGTGAGTCTCTGTACTTCTACTGTGTACAGCAAGGAATTTTATCAGATATTCAAAACTGTGGAACAAAAGGCAACAGTGTTTCTGAGCATGTCAGAATTAGGACTGTGCAGTGATCTGTTGGTTCACTCTGTAGGTCAGTTTGAGGTTTTAGAAAGCATTTCGATTTGGTATGGAGTAACCCAGTTGTAAATTCAGGTCATCAGCCTCCTATGGACTTGCACTGGAAAGTCAAAACACCTATAACTTTTTGTTTTTCCACTGAACAATTTCCCCCACCCACTCAACACTTAAAATTGGAGTCCTGATAATCTTCTAAAGGGGAAACCTGCCACATTTCAGATGCTTGAATTCAGAGGTTTGCATACCAGGCACGTTTAAAATGCTGTCATCATTGTTTTCAAAAATCTCTCCCATTCATTTTCCATTAAAAGCTGGTTCAGTTTGTGTTTCACGCAATTCCATCTTTGTCCCAGATCCTAAATTCGCTTTGCTTCATACTGAAACCAAATCTGGCCAGGACACCTTTGTATATACAGTGGTGCCTGGACTGACGATGTTAATTTGTTCCAGCGAAATCGCTGTAGAGTGAAAATGTTGTAAAGCAAAATAAAAAAGCCCACTGAAATGCATTGAAAACCATTCAATGCGTTCCAATGGGCTGAATACCTGCTCGTCCAGAGAAGATCCTCCATAGGGGTGGCCGTTTTCAGTGTTTGTAGTGTGAAAAATGCCTCCTGAAAACAGCGGGGAGGCATTTTGATCAGCCGGCAGTCATTTTGAAAACCCTACTATCAGCTGTTTTGATCGTTGTAATGCGACGGCAGCCATTTTGAAAACCCGACTATCAGCTGTTTTGATTGTCGTAATGCGAAGAATCGGTTCCCGAAGCAGGGAACCGATCATAGCAAAGCGAAAAAAAAACATTAAAACATCGTTTTGCGATCGCAATTGCTATCGCAAAAACATTGTCATGAAGTGGATTTGTCATTATACGGGATAATCATTAAGCGGGGCATGACTGTAATAGCAATCATGAGCTGTCGAGTCAATTCTGAGTTGTGACAATCCTCAAGAGGTTCCAGGCAGAGACTACTGCAAAATGGTTTCCCCTTCCCTTCCTCTAGAGGGCACTAATGCAAAATGATTTCCCATTCCCTTCCTCCAGGGGGCACCCTGGGATGGTGAAGTTTGCCCAAGGCCACCCAGGCTGGCTTTTCTCCCAGGAGGCACCGTTGGGGAATCGAACTGCCGACCTCTGGCTATGAGAGTAAAACAGACATCTCAGAACCCAGAGACAGCAACCGAGCCAACCAGCTTTTAAAGATCTACAGAAAACTGGGGGAAGTAGTAATCCAAGTTGTTACATCCCCTGCCAAATATTTACTTTCATCATCTGGAGCCAAGCATTAGATGTGTCACATACACCCCGAGTGCTCCTTTAAATAGCTCACTGGTTATGGCGGTTCTCGGTTTACACTGCACATCACACGGGAGTGTAAAAATCTGACATCGATATAACAGAGGAGGAGGGACTTCACCTCTAGGGACTTCTCGAGTTTTGTGATGCAGTGCAGGATCTTGGTGAAACCACTGACAGACCCATTTATCCCTTTACTGATTCAAACAGCCAGTCTGACACAAGGAGGAGGAAGATGAGGATGATGGTGGGCTGTTAAATTGATTCTGATTTTTGGCAACCCTTTTTAGGGTTCTCCGGGTAAACAGCGCTCAGAAGTGGTTTCCCCTTCCCTTCCTCTAGGGGGCACCCTGAGACAGTGCCAGCTGGCCCAAGGCTACCCAGGCTGGCTCTTCCCCCAGGAGCCACACTGGAGAATCGAACTCCCAACTTTGGGCTCTGCACCCAGGTACCTAAACCACTGATAGCTGCTGCCAAGTCAAGGAGGAAAGTAGAGTGGCACCTTGCTTAATGATTACCTTGTTAAACGACGAATCTGCTTGACGGTGAGGTTTTTGCGATCGCTTTTGATGTTTTAATGGGCAAAATTTACTTCCCTGCTTTGGGAACCGATTCTTCACATGATGACGGTCAAAACAGCTGATCGTCGAGTTTCAAAATGGCTGCCCTCTGTGTAAAATGGCTCCCTACTGTGCTTTAGGACGGATTTTTCGCTGCACAGGCATCGGAAAATGGCCGCCCTATGGAGGATCTTTGCTGGACACTGAGGTATTTAGCCCATTGGAACACATTGAGCGGTTTGCAATCCGTTTCAATGGGCTCTTTTATTTTGCTTGACGAGGATTTTGCTCTACAGCGAATTTGCTCGAACGGATTATCCTCATCAAGCGAGGCACCACTGTACTGGGTTAGAGGGGTGTAGAGGGTGATCAGAGAGGGCGATAATTTGCATTTTGCACTCACAGCGTGGTTCAGTGTGAACTACTTCCTGGCAATCACATGATGCACAGGAGATTGTGAACCAGCCCAACCCTGATCCATCTCTAAGCCGGACCTTTCTGGTCCAGGGGGAGGGCTACACAGTTTGGGGAGTGGGCTATTGTGATTCCTAAACAAACAGAAGACTAATTTTAAGGGCAATCACTCCCAGTTAGGTGATCAGACACAAATCCTCTCTGAATCCTTCCTCAACCCCTTCGATGGTTCCAGACAGTTCAGCCAGCATAGGGCAGTTTCCTAGACTTTTCATCTTACGTGGCTAGAGTGGGGCCACATCCCCAAACGTGTTAAGAAGTTATACCCCATCTGGCTATGTGCAAATACAGCAGTTCGCTAGAACAGTTCCTGTTTTGGACCTAATTGTAGCAGTAACCATGCTAGCTGGGGGAATTGGGAGAGTTACAGTCCAAGACAGTAAGTTGTGCCCTGCTTAACGATTACCCTGCATTACGATGAATCCGCTTCATGACGATGTTTAAAACATTTAAAACAATGTTTTAAATGGTTTTTTTTCGCTTTGCGAAGATCGGTTCCCTGCTTCGGGAACTGATTCTTCGCATTACAACAATCAAAACAGCTGATTGTCAGGTTTTTAAAATGGCCACCGGGTGCTCAAAATGGCTCCCCACTGTGCTCAGGGACGGATTCCTCGCTATGCAGGCACCAAAAATGGCCGCCCCTATCGAGGATCTTCGCTGGATGGTGAGTTTTTAGCCCATTAACCGGGTTTTAATGCATTTCAATGGGTTTTTTATTGTCACTTTACGATGTTTTCGCTCTACAGCGATTTCGCTGGAACGAATTAACGTCATTAAGCGAGGCACTACTGTAACTTTTTACCAGCTCTGGAACTGAGATAAGAGTTCCCATCCCACAACAACTGTTAATTTTGCTTAGCCACCCTTGCCGAGGGGAGAAAGATGCCCGTCAACAGCCTTAGCTTGATGTGAACTACTGGGAAACTCCGAGGTTTAAGCCTCTGACTGCAGAGCCAGAGTTTGGGGGTTCGATTCCCGCATGTGCCTGCTGGAGAGGGGTGGGACTTAATGATCCCTTCCAGCTATGCAGATCTAAAATGATGATGATGAGATGCTAGAACTCTCAAACTCAGACCTCTTTCAGCTGTCCTCTAGTACAGCAGTTCTTAACCTTTTCCTTACTGTGGGACCCCCTTTGGTTGCTGCAGACCACCAAGACTTGACTTCAGATTTAGAACCCTAAAGTGCATCGAATATTTATTTAAAGTTTCTCGTGAAGGGTCGTGTCGACAGATATTCCTTGCTATAACGGCGGCACTTCTTAATTTTATTTATTTTTTATTTTATGTTATTAGATTTATACCCCGCCCATCTAGACCAAAGGTCTACTCTGGGCAGAATTACAAATTTAAAAAGAGTAAAACCAATAAACATACAATTTTTGTTGAACAATTTCTTGTGACATTTCTAAAGAGGACTGGAAGAAGCTTCGTTTTGCTTTGAACAAGACGCACAACAGTTCTTTTAGGTTTCAAATTCACCCGTTCTGAGGCTCAGCCAGAATGTTTTGTTATGAAATTTACTGCGATAATATTGAAAACTTGTTTACCTGACAATAACCAAATGGTTTTATGAGCAGAAACTGAAGAAGAAACACAATCACAAAGTCCATCCAAACACTCACACTGACACTGCCTGACTCTGACTCTCTCTTCCCACGGCTTCTGACTGTCTGCGCAGTAGCAAGAAATGCCACGTGCGGTCTCTCAGCCATTCATCCTCATTCACTTCCATTTTCTCACCATGTGCAGAAATATAAAACAGTTATTTGCTATCAAACAGTTATTTTTGTAACCTATTTTTACTTTTGTTTGTTTTTAATAGAGGTGATAGGTTAGAAAAGCCAGGTTCTACGCAAACAAACAAGGGAAATTAAGATTTTGTTTCATATTTCCTTTTCTTTCTTGCTTTCATTCATTCATTCATTCATTCATTCATTCATTCATTCTATTTTAACTTTAAAAAATCATAACATTTCTTCAAGCCCTCGCAGATCTCCTGTGAGGACCTTGTGGCTCCCAGGGGTACACAGACCACAAGTTAAGACTTGTGACTTATAAAAGTGACTTACCGTATGTTTCCATGTATAAGACTATACTTTTGTCTAAAATCTTTAGACTAAAATTTGAGGCTCGTCTTATACACAGAAGTAAGCTGAGGAAAGAACAAAAACAAGTGGAGGGGAAAGCAGGGATCAAAGCGATCCTGCAGCACTTTGATCCCTTTCCCCCTACACTTGCTAAGCCTCACTTATTTTTCTTAATTTTGGATTAGAAAGGGGGGGGGGCATCTTATACATGGGGCATTTTATACACAGAAAAATACGGTATATCCTGAGCCATCCGTGGTCAAATTATACATGAAAGGGAATGCATGCAGCTTCTGTACAATCTGCCCATTCCCGTACCACAATGGGATTTTCATTGGAGGTCAGTGTTTCAGCAATTGGACTTTCAAATTATGCCTTGCAGTGACCAATCAGGAAACAAAGCATGCTAAAAGGCGTGCCCTATGACAAGCAGATGTCTTTCTTCCCTTGTTGGAGCACCACCTGTAAATGCATGCTAATTCTATTCTCTAGTTTGGCCTTATAATGGTCTGACCTGTTAGAAGGCAACTAATGTGTGTGTTTGGGTGATCCAATCTGACCCACCCTCTTTCCCTGCTTTGCTGTGAAACCCAGATCCCCCCCCTCCATGCAAGCTCTCCACTGGAGTTTGGTCTAGAGCAGAGATGCTGAATGTTTGCCTTGCAGGCCAGATGCGAGCCACATTAGCTCCCCATCCGTCCAGCAAGCTTTTTCTGTTGTTGTGCAATCATAGTTGACCAAAAAGGGGCTAACTGAAGCCTAGGAAACTTTTATGGGCATGGGATTTTGGCCAACTAAAGTTTTGTCTCCCTGTTTAGGAGTGCCTGGAGGGGGGGGCAAGCCTGGGATTAGAGATTATTTTCTGAATTCAAAAGAAAACAAGCAAGCGAGCTTAACATCAGTAAGGTCCGCTTATCTAGGAACAAGTCCTTATCTAAAGGGATGCAGTCAGCGCATGATAGCACGTCATTCCAAGAAAGAGGTCACATAGTTCATTTTGCAGGAGGCTTAAGCAATTTTACTTTGTCTGCTCCTGGGGGAGAGATGCGTTCCAATGCAAAGGATACCCAGACAAATTTGGAGCTTCTGTTTGTCTCTCATGTTTACTTCTGATGTGACCCATAATTCCACAAGATAACTACTCACGTAGTAACCTGGAATACTGCTGATTCCGTGGCATGGACTCAAACCTGTCCTCGTGGCTTCCTTGCTACATTTAAAATTGGTCCAAAATCTGGGGCTGGGGTAGAATGTGGAAAAAAAAATTTAAGTACTTGACTACAGTTGAAGAGCAAAGCCCCCAAAGTATTTCATTGACATAATAGTTACAATTTAAAAGCAATCATTACATGTGAAGTAATTAGAATAGTTATATGTGGAGTAACTAGAATAGTTATATGTGATGTAACTAGAATAGTTACATGTGAAGTAACTAGTTACATGTGAAGTAACTAGAGTAATTACATGTGAAGTAACTAGAATAGTTACATGTGAAGTAACTAGAATATTGACTTTTGGTGACCTCTTTTGAAAAAAACTGAATGCTACAAGAGGCTGGCCTGTGATACTAATTACATTCTCTCTTCCTGAGAGTGTTGTCTCATCATGATAAGAAACGAAAAAAGTTTGCGCAAGAATTCCCAGGATCCCCTAGCCCCAGCATGACTGGCGGTTGCACTGGCTAGGGAATTCTTGGAGTTGTAGTGAAAAAGATGGCTTTCCCTGAGTCTGTCCTACAACAGAGCATGAGAGAGCGGCTGAAGGCACACGCGAGCTGGAATCATCCTCCTCCGCCGCCATTTTGGGCTTTCCCAGATGGAGAACGTGTTCTCCTTAAAATTACAGGTTTTGCCGTGATGCTGTTGGTACGCTTCCCATCACCCGTGCAATGTTCCTCTTGTCTTACTTAGTACAGTGCTTTTTTGCTTTGAGTTCCACTCCTTGTCATCCTTCCTGGACACTTGGTGTAGTTTTAGCTTCCCTTTCCTCCGGGGGCCAAGTTTAGCGCTATAGCACTTGCCGTTTCACATGGACGTCCACAATGAGACCTTGTGGCCAGCAGGAAGCTTTCAATTAACATTCAAAAAACAAACAAATGGAAGGCTACATTGGAGAAGTGGATTTCTTGGAGAAAAGCCGTTTTCTTAGTTAGAAAAGAAGAAAATGATTTTTAAAGAGACGTTTGAAATCAAAATCCCAGTTAAGCCCACATTGCTTTGGGTTTTACTGGGATTTGAGAGAAAGGGGGTGGGAAGAGCCTCCATCTGGAAGAGGAGCAAGGTCACATGCACTGTACTCACAAAAGTAACTAAAAAGCTACAGGTACACCATGGAAGGAGTGATGATGTTAACCTTTGTAAAGTCACAGTTGGACTATAAGATAGTTACACCTCCACGATTAGAAAACAGAAAGAATGAGAAGTAACTTATTAGTAACTAGTTACTTTCAAAATTATGGGAGGGGGTTAGAAAATGTGCCTCCTGCTTAAAACACTCCTTTCTGTTTCATGACGGTGCTGTTCTTCCCACTGGAATTAAATTGTGCATTTCTGTTTATTTTATGGCTTCTATTATTATTATTATTATTCCATTGCTTTTGAAGAGCTTTGCCTTGAAACGGAGCATGCATGTATTTCACTAAAATAAATGTTCACTATTGCATTAACATATTTCAAATATCGGTGAGTGTTTCTTTTTTAACATAGATATGTGCATTCCAAAGCACTTCAGTCTCCCGAACAAAAATCTACACGTTCAGATATTCCTTCATTGCACACCTAGAAAACCAAGGCAGACGGTGTTACGGCAGTCGCGGTTTATTGCTATTGTTCTGTAATAGCTCTTTGAACTGTCTCTTTAAAAATGTAAACGAATTTTAAAATGTGTTATTGCTACAGTCCAGTATGACCTGGAAGTCACAAACAACGGCCCTATCACTAAAGACGCGCAGGCGACGATCCACTGCACCCTGCACATGAAGAATGAACGGTCTTCCTCTGTCCGTGGGCAGCAGTACCAGTTTAACTGGATTTATGCCCCCTTGACGCTGGTGGAGAAATTGGAGCGAGGGGCCAACTCGACCATCGTTGTGACCAGTCCTTTCCCGGGGGTCTTCTCCGTTTCAGTCCAGGTGGCCCCCGCAGGCTGCTGGTTCTGCCCAACCCTTGCAAGAGGCCTGACAGTTCTACAAATATCAGGTAAAACACCCCATGTTTTATGATATAGCCAAATAAGAAGAGCAACATTTGAAGGTCTTTCGTGAGTGATGGCCCACCATTATAAGCCCAGGTCTCCTTAGGGCTTAATCCTCGCTCGCACTCAGTCCCCGCCTTGCATAAGTGATCCTCTGCTTTGGCCGTCACAGCTCTGCCCCTCACGAACTGGGAGGGCTACTGAGGTGGACAGATGCTAGAGATGGAGCAGGCAATGTGTTGGAAATTCCAGAAAAGCCCATCTCTATTCTGGCGGCCAGGAGAGCCCTTATCATGTCTGTCTTCGTACAGCGCCTGTGAAACTGGAGGATTCTGGCCATTACTGTCATACTTGAAAGAACTCTTTCCTGTTTCTCAAAAGGCACTGCATTGTTATTTTATTTCTTCCTCCCCCCCAAAAAAAAATAATCCAAATATTTTTCATTCATCAGCACAATCCAGGGATTGAACTAAAGTGGTGTCTCGCTTAACGGGCGCCCCGTTTAATGATGAAATTGCATATCGACAAACTTTTTGCAATCGCATTGCGATGTTTTAAATGGGGGGAAATCGCTTTGCCATGATCGGTACCCTGTTTCGCTTACCGATTATCGCAAAACGATGATTTTCTAACAGCTGATTGGCAGTTCCAAAATGGCCACCGGGTGAAAAAAATGGCCGCCCACTGTGTTATCGCGCGGATTCCTCACTTACCAGACAGCGAAAATGGCCGCCGTATGGAAGATTTTCGCTTTAAGGTGAGTTTTAAGCCCATAGGAACGCATTGAAGGGGTTTCAGTGCATTCATATGGGCTTTTTAAAATCTCATAGCGACAAAATCGCTTTGCAGTGATTTTTGCTGCACCGATTAACGTTGCTACACGAGGCACCACTGTATGTGATTTATAGAATAATGAAGTTGGAAGGGACCTATAAAGCCATCGAGTCCAACCCTCGCTCAATTCAGGAATAGAAATCAAACAATATCTGCCAGGTGGTTGTCTAAATTTCTCTCGAATGCCTTCAGTACTGGAGCACTCACCACCTCTCAACTCCCAGAAGCCTTCACCCATACTGCTCTAACAGTTAGGAAGTTTTTCCCGATATTCAGCCAAAATCTGATTTCCTGTAGCTTAAGCCCATTATTATTTGTCCTGCACTCTGGAATGATTTTTTTCCTGCTCCTCCTCTGTATGACAGCTTTTCAAGTATTCTGCTACCATATCTCCCCTCAATCATCTTTAGATGTTTTGGGGGGCACCCAATGAACCACATAGCTAATAAATATATTTGTTGTCTCTTTCTTCTACAGAGTTTATAGTAGGGAATTTATCGGTTACCCAAATAGAGAACAGCAGTATGCCAGAGAAATTCGGTTCTCATCCTGCAACAGCAACGCTAATCCTCGTCTCCTTCCTCCTTCACGATCCGAGCCATTATTTTCAGACGGCGTCCTTTGTTTATAATTGGGATTTTGGAGATGGGTATGTCCCTATGCTTTTCTCTGCCCCCACCCTGCCATACATTTGGGCCAAAATCCTATCCATTGTACCCATTGGCCTAACACTGTTGGCGTAAACATGATTGATGAATGACCAGAAATTCAGAAGTTAGCGTGATACGTGCTGAGCAAACAGCAAATACCTAGGCTAACTTTTTGCACTTGAAGCAATTACAGTGGTGTCCTGCATGACAATGAAACCGCTAAACAACGAAACCACAGGACGATGACTTTTTGGGATCGCTATAGTGATTCGCATAACAGGCGTTTCAATGGGGGAATTCCATTTCACGACAATTTGGTCTGTGCTTCGCGGACCGTTTATTCGCAAGATGACAATCTTTACAGCTGATTGTCGGCTTCACAAAATGGCTTCCTGCTGTCTGCCAGACCCATGCTTCGGAAGACAGCGATTAAAAACAGCTGATCGGCACTCACAAAATGGCTGCCCTATGGAGGATCTTCCCTGGACAATGAGGTATTTTCCCCATTGGGAACGCATTAACCGGTTTTCAATGCATTCCAATGGGGAAAATGTTTTCGCATGACGACGATTTCACTGTACAGCGATTTCAGGGGCACAAATTATCGTCATCATGCGGGGCACCACTGTATCTGCTGAGATTTGCACCAACTGTGTGACGTGGATGTAAAAACACAACTCATTTTAGCCATTATACATTACAGCTTTATCATGCACACACGGACAAGCATAGTTTGACAGCCATGGCTTCCCCACAGGGCCGACCAGAGATTTTGCTTTCCTTGAGGTCGAAAGAACACGACCCCAGGCTTCACAGATGCAGCCCTGCTCCCACATCCTTTCTGTATCTACATGTACATCCAGCTGCACCCTTCCATGCTGTGCGAGAGGAAGAGCCAGAGGCAGTGATCCACATCTTTAGTCCTTTTCCCCAAAGCTTTGTCTGGAGCAGTGGTTCCCCAACCTTGGGTTGCCCAGGTGTCCTTGGACTGCAACTCCCAGAAGCCTTCATCATTAGCTGAGCTGGCCGAGTTTTCTGGGAGATGTAGTCCAAGAACATCTGGGGACCCAAGGGTGGGAACACCGGTTGAGAGGGGAGGAAGAGAAAGACTCAGTGGGATGTGCCATCTAGCAGGAGGAAAGGATACGGCAGTTGGACATCATCTTCATGCCCTCCATCCGTGGAACGGCTTTGCTCCAGGAGGCCCTAAGGGCAGCAGATGTATAGACTATCCCATTATGTATTCCCTCTAAGACCCCTTGAGGTGAGTGTTCCCTCAGAGAGACAGCTGCTCACAATAGCAACTCTGAAGTGACCTCCAACACTGAGGGAGCTTTGCATTTGTCCCCTGAGGCAACCCCATCACCACCACAGAGGGTAGGGCTGGCTTGGTCTCCTCAGCCATTCGGCGGAGGGTTCCTGTCCCTATGGGCCTCGCCAGCAGAGCCATCATAAACAAAGCCGTGAGGTATAATAAAGGAGGAAGCTCTCCAGTCCACAGAACATCCGCTTTGCACAAGGTTGAGACGTGAACCGCAGCCACCTACCAAGAGGAAAGACAGAAAGCCTGCCTGCCTCCACCTAGAACTGTCCCACCATATCTGTAATTCCATCACCATTGGAGAGAAAAGCTGGATTGGTTTGTTGAACGAAAAATCCTCACATCCTATAAACAACTAGGCCTGTTCAGAGCAGGAGAAGCTGTGTCAGCCATAATTCCTGCAGAGACATGGTGGTGTATTAGGGTATCTCGCAGTGGAGCCAGAGTTGGGGAGTTCGATTCCCCCATTGCACCTCCTGGGAGTAGAGCCAGCCTGTGTAACCTTGGGCACCCTGCACAGTTCCAGAAGAAAAGAGCGGGAAACCAATTCTGAGTACAGTCTACCTGGAAAACCCTGGGAAGGGTAACCACACATCAGGATGGATTTGACTGCACACAATTATAAATATGAATAAAGTCTCCCCATTTCTCCTTCCCATGCAGAACAAAACTGACAACAGATGAGCCCTCTGTCTATCACAATTATTCCACTCCCGGGACTTGCGTGGTGCGCCTTGAGGTGACGGCAGAATGGAGACAACAACACAGGATGAAGACAGAGCATTCAAGAAAGCTTGTCCAGAGAACAGGGCATTTTGCTGCTGCGTTGGAGCTGTTAGGTAAGGTCAAGTGACCTGGCCAGACCCAGGCAAGATCACAGGGTGTAGTCAAGTCCCATTAGAAACACATTGGGCTGTGGGGAAGTCATGGGACAGCTTGTCCCATCTCGGGCTGTGGTGCTGGTTTGTTGTAAGGCAAGAAGCCTTCGCCACTAGCTGTGCTGGCCAGGATCCCTGGGAGTTGTAGTTCGTGGACACAAGGAGACCCAAAGTTGGGCACCACAGCCCTAGTGCAAGGTGGGATCCTCACTCATCCATGGAGAAACACCCAATGGCCTGGAAGTTGAATTATTGTTCAACACTTGGGATGGGAAAGTGTCCTCTAACACACGTGGTCCCCAACCTTGGGCCTCCAGATGTTCTTGGACT